TCAATTGGATATCCTTTTAGAGGGAAAATCAATAGGAAGTGATACAAAAACAACCACAGTGAGGAGTTATTATCATTTATAAAGGTTCTTTCACTTTTCAATTGAATACAGTTTCAGCTTGAATTTTATACATTCCAACTTTCTCCCGTTGAATAATACTTGTAGGGGTACACGTGCAAGGCACGTGACATAGAGACTAATAATTAAAAAAAGAGAGTAGTAATAAAAATATTGTTTCCCTTTTGGGTTGAATTACCGTCTTTAACTGCCAGAACAACTTCTGCTCCCGTCCCCAGCACCTCACAAGTTCTTTATTTATAAGCTTGTACATTTTTTCAGGCTCATACTTATATGTATTAAATAACTTTGACATGTTCCTTTCCAATAAAATTTCAGAATCTCAAAATAGTACTACTATATTGGACATTATTTTATCACCTTTATCATCATTATCACAATCTCCAATTATCACCTTCATCATTGTTTTGCTAATTTTCTTCCTACTAGTATATTAGCATGTCAACATATGGTTCCTATTCTTTTTTCTTTTTTATTTCACCTTTTTTACTTTGTGTTTTAAGTTCTTGACAAGAATTAAAGCTTTGGAATATTAACTTCTTCTGGCCATCACATCTTTCCTGTTCAGGCTGATATATTATAAGTTGTCAATTCCTTTATATTTGTTCTGTTCTGTGTAGAAGAAAGAACGTAGGGCCAAGAAAAGAAGCTCAATAATTAGGTTCACATGCATTCAAAGAGACCCCCAAAATATACGAGTACCCCTTGCTTACACAATGCTTTCTAGGTATTAATTCTTTGTTAAAAAATAGAGAACAAAAAGGGAGAGAAAAAAAAATTCAATTAATACTGGGGAGTTTGCATAATTTTTCGTCGGGTGCACGTGGGAAGGAGACTCTGGTTCAAGGCTGTCACGACCATAAACCCGAACCCGGTCGTGATGACGCCTCTCGTGAAAACATGGCCAGCCAACTATTCCCAATTCGAAGATAAACAGTTAATCAACAACAAAATAGCCTAAACTATGATTAATAATACAAAGTAACAAATAATATCAATAAAATACGGAAGTACAACCCAACACAGCCCTAACCGGGGTATCACAAGTCACGAACATCTAACAACACTAAGTCCTCAAATGTAACTACAGAGGTTAAATACTGAACTAAGGACATAAAGGAAAGAGATAGGGAGGAGCTCCAGGCTGCGAACGCCAACAACTACCTAAAGACTCCTCGAAGATCCGCCTGAAGCTAGAATGAATCAGCACTCAGGAGCGGGACCAGCTACGCCTGAATCTGCACACAAGGGTGCAGGGAGTAAAGTGAGTACTCCAACTCAGTGAGTAACAAATGTAAATAACGACTGAAAGTAAGAAAACACGTAAGGCACAAGGCATTCTATAATGAAGCAGTAAAACAGTGAAAAGTCAAGTAAAATCCTCTTTTAACAAGTAAACAAGTAATTGACAGGTAATTAAGGTAAAGTAAACAAAATAGAAGTTCGCCTCTCGGGCACAGTATCACCACATCCGCCCCTCAGGCAACATCTCAGAACAATAACAGCCCCTCGGGCTCAATCTCACATCACAATGGGTACCAGCGCTCATTCGGGGTGTGCAGACTCCTGGAGGGGCCCCTTATGGCCCAAGCGTAATAACAAGCTTACTGTTATCGCGATGGTCAGGTCAGCTGTTATTGCGCGACCTCAGACCACGACCTCAGACCAGCTGACCAAAAAGACCCTACGCGAACACGACTTACATCTCACGAACGCGATGCACGAGCCTCCAGCCCTTCGCGAACGCGGAGCCTCCCTCGCGAGCGCGAAGGCTAAATTTCCACTGACCCCCACTGACTCTTCGCGAACGTGAGGGTCCACTCGCGAATGCGAAGAGTAAAAGCCTGCAATAGCTGAACCTGCAACTTCTGCAATTTTTCCAACTTCAAAAATGATCCGATTGACCACCCGAACTCACCCGAGGCCCCCGGGACCTCAATAAAAGGCACAAACACATCCTAAAACCTTATTCAAACTTGTTCTAATCATCAAAACACCTCAAACAACATCAAATCACCCAAAACACATCAGATTCAAACCTAAATTTCTAAAATCTTTCGAAATATGCTTTTGATCAAAAACCCAACCAAACCACGTCCGAATGACCTGAAATTTTACACACACATCCCAAATGACACAAGGAAGCTACTGCAACTCTCGAAATTCCATTCCGACCCCTATATCAAAATCTCGCCTATCAACCGAAAATCGCCAAAATCTTAACTTCGCCAATTCAAGCTTAAATCTACTCCGAACCTCCAAAATCCATTCTGGTCACGCTCCTAAGTTATAAATCACCTCCCGAAGATAACCGAACCATCAGAACTCGCATTCGAGCCCTCTAACACATAAGTCAACATCCTGTTGACTTTTCCAACTTAAACTTCCTTAAAACAGACTAAGTGTCTCAAACCTTACCAAAATCATTCTGGATTCGATCTGACCAACCTGATATCAAAAAACACCGATAACGAAGTATAAAGAAGCAGAAATAGGGAAAACGGAGCGGTAACTCATGAGACAACTGGTCGGGTCGTCACAAAGGCCCTACCATACATGTTCATGTCGTTGGTTCATATATATACATATATATAGGTATGGACCTCTTTTTTGATTCTTTCAAAATCAACTTAAGCGCGCTATATATTCATGATTGAAAATTATTTTCTCCATCTATAAATTATTGTGGTATTTGTTTCATTTTTCCTTTTATTATTTCTATAAGTGAAGATTACTTGTCAGCTTCCTAGCTACAGGTGTTAGATGACTAGCTAGTACATGAATATTATGTAAAACATGGAAAAAGCGATAGTTAAAAAGTTTAGGGAGGGACCCTTTGTTGAGTACATCTCATGAGAAGACTTTTAATTGATGGAGTTTTATGGTGATAGTGAATGTTTGAATGTGAAAGACTGATATAGGTAGCTATTTCTCACATGCAAACTTGGCCCATTTGCTATAAGTGAAAACTGAGGATTTTAATGGAAAAAATAAAAACTTAAAGATAACCAAAGGTATATAGCTTTTTTTCAGCAGAAGCAGATACTGTCTCTTTTAGAAAACTTCACTTAATCAGGAGGAGTTTTCCTCTCTTTTACTATATTCCACTCTAGCATATCACTTATGTTGTAAGAAAGATATGGGAATTTTTTCTCTTTACTCTATTTATCAGTTTGAGTCTTGATGTAGTATCTGTTTCTATCAGTGGGGAGGGACCCCTTTAACTTGATTTCTTTTTCCTGTTCCCAGAAGTAGATAAAGTCAAGTTCCCATAGAGGATGTATCATTATAGTGTCCATACTCTCCAAACTGCATCTTAATTGTGGCTTTCCAAGTCATTAAGCAATTAGATGGATATCTTTCAACTCCCAAAGATTTGAGATGGAAATTTTCTTGATTCTCTTGTGATTCTCACTAGTGCTTGTACCTCACTCAAGGATATAATAGGACATCGAAATTATATATGTGTCACACTACTTTAATCCTTCCTCTTTGACTAATTAAGTAGATGACCTNTATACACAACTTTTAGCTAGCAAATGAAATAAATTTCAATCGGCCGGCCAATTTTGTATTTTACCCGAAAATTTGTAAGGGTTTTCACCCTTTTCCATTTTCTTTTCCCCGTGGAGTTCCATGCGTTTTATTTTAAATAAATCCCAATATTTGACTAGGCATGAGTCTAGAAAATACTCCCTCCGTTTCAATTTAGATGACACACTTTCCTTGTTAGTCCATTCCAAAAAGAATGATACATTTCTATACTTGAAAATAATTCAACTTTAAACTTTTCAATTTACCCATTTTACCCTTAATTGAGAAGCTCTTATAATCGCACAAATACCATGAGCCCACGAAGTTTTTACCTCTTAAGCTTTTAAGACCGCAAGTTTCAAAAGTCTTCCCCTTTTCTATTAAACTACATGCCGAGTTAAACTACCTCATCTGAATTGAAACAGAGGAAGTAATAAACTTTTGGCACAAAGTACTCTTAGAACTTGTTGTCCTTAACACATAATAATACTTCTATGATATAAAATAGTATGTTAAATAAGGTAAAATGAGAAATTCAACTTAAAGATTTTTAAATATAGTAATATGTTAATTCCTTTAGAACATATAAAAAAGTGTCTCATATAAAATAAAGCGGACATGAGTATTATTTTTGCATGTAATTATAAGGTTAACTTCATGCTTCCTGTTATAAATATATTATATTATGGATGTTCATTTCGTACTCCGTTGTAAATAAGCTTCCTGAAGAAACTTATTCATATGGGACTCCGCCGTAAATATGTTTATCTATTTAGTACTCTATTGGAAATAAGTTTCCTGATGAAGCTTATCACTTCGGTACCCGGTTATGGATAAACATTGCCCCCGGTAGAAGATTATCCATATCTGGTATAATAGCAGCTTGTAGTCGCAGCTTACACAGCAGTTTGCAGTAGCAGCTTACACAACAGCTTCCTTTCTTCTATAAATAGAAGAGATTTCAGTTCATTATGTACATCAATTTGAATTCGGATAATATATCAGTTTGTCGCCTTTATTTTACCGTCTTTATTTTATAACACTTCCAAGATCTTTAATATTTTTTCATGGTATATGAACCACATGCAGACAGCTATAGTAAGTTGTCTTCATCACAGATTAGTTAAAGAAACTGGAATTGACTTAAAGACAGTCAAAAAGTAAAAACTATCTCCATCTCTACGAGACAAGGATAGACACCCATTTAGGCTATCTTACAGATAGTCGCTATCTGTAAAGGATTCTTTTTAGGTTTAATTTGAACAGGAACACATAATTGGTTACAACGGTAAAAACTAGAAAAATCGTAAAGCTTTTCGATTGAATGCGTAATTAATCAACAAACACAATTACAACCTGGAAATATAAAGATCTAGAAATCACAAAAGGAAAAAAAAATTGAAGTACATTTACTATCATATACCATACACAAAAGGATGATCAACAAATTTCAATATTTTATCAAGAATATCCAGTGTTGAGACAACGGAAGGAAATATGTGTAAGATCTATTTACAGATCAATAAGAAAAACTCTATAACACACACCTGTAGGGAAGTAACCGTCCATGATAAGTGAGATTAACCTGTGAAAATAGGCTAAGAAAACTGTCCAAAGGCGGCGGGAAGTCTCTGATAAGTGTTACTATTGTATAAGTTTGCATTTTGTAGAGAAGATTCTTGCGGTTGGTTTTGAAGCCATGTTGTAGTAGTACCCAATGAACCTTGTGTCATGAACTGTGTCTCGGATTTTGTTTCGTTGTTGTATAAGTCTTGATGTTGAGACGAAATTTGATGATTCTGGATTGTGTTAGAACCTAGTGAAAATGGGGTTTGCAAATACTCAGACCATTTGATTTCTTCTCTCTCTGGTTTCCCACTACCATGTGCTGTTGTTGATCCCCATGCGAAAGCTGCAGCATTGTTATCAAAGAATGAACAGTTGCTTTGTAATTCAATACTGTTACTGCTACCATTACTGTTGCTGCTGAGAGTACAAGCTTCCCAATTCTGGGACTTGTTGATATTAAAACTATTATCAGGAGGAAGAGTAGTTAAAGAAGGCGACTTTATACGTGCCAACGGGGATGTAGTGAGAATAGAATTCGACATGGGTGAAAGGCTACAATTGAACTGATGATCAGATACCATATCATGAGCAGAATTCTTATTATTGAAGAGAATATTGGTGTTGGGAGTGTAATTATTCAAGTGCTGAAAGGAGAGATAATTAGAAAAATAAGGAGACTTGCAATTTGTGGTGAAGAATTCATGAGTTGGTGGGGCAATATTATTGGTCTCAATAAGTGGATAATGGTCCATAATTGTCATTGAAGATGACTTTGGCTTTTCTATTGAAAATCCATTCTCATGAGCAGCCTCAACAAAATTGAGCTGATCATTATTGGAGCTTTCAGAAACTTTGTCAGTGTTCTTATTGTTACTGTTTGCTGACGCTTTCTCTTCATTTTCAACCTCAGAAAGTGGCTTGTGTGTATTTGGATCAATACCTCTTTGTCTTAGCTTTTTCTTAATAGAAGAGTTCCACAGATTCTTAATTTCATTATCTGTTCTTCCTGGTAATCTAGTTGCAATTTGAGACCACCTGCGAGTAAACAAAAAAAACAATAATTAAGGTCAGCTCAGGTTAATTATCACATAAAACAAATTGTACAGTCTGGTGAAGGATATACTTACTTGTTCCCAAGAACTGCATGAAGTTCAATGATCAAATTCTCTTCATCTTGCGAGAATGTCCCTCTCTTTAAATCAGGTCTCAAGTAGTTAATCCACCTGAGCCTACAACTTTTTCCACACCTCTGAAGACCTGCCACACCATTGAATTAAAAAAATCACTAACAAGAAAACTCGAAAGACAAAATTTAAAAAACAATTACAGTGTCCAATTCAAGCAAGTTGGGATCGGCTATAAAATAAAGTACTGCAATTATTTCAATTCCAACATGCATTTTCAAGAAAACAGAAAAAAAAAAAAAAAAAAAA